CCGAGAAACGGCTGTGGGTGCCGGACTATTTCGGGAAGAACTCACGCCGATGCTTTTCCCTAGCAAAGGTCCCACCCAGGCTGCGGAAGAGACACATTCGCTCATAAACCACTATTGACAAGCGTGATAGATGCGGCGAGGTACTTAGTGAGTGCCGGAGAGCAGAGCTGATTGCATTTCACAGTCTGTGTATTTCTCTGTTTATTGCCTGCATTCTGTCATTAGGCAAACAGGTTCCTAATATAGCAAATCTCTCTAATCAGTAAAGCCAGGGAGAAGAGAACCAGAAGCATCGTTAATTACGACCATTTGGCTGCAGCCTGGACGGTCTGTTGCTATTGGATTTGGGCAACTTCCTCCGGCTCAGTTTTCTGGAGGCAGAGCAGAAGCCGGCTCTCCTTAGACGTGGAGGCGAGCGGAGAAACGGTGCATGCCCTGCTGGCTGACAGCTACCTAAATACCCGAGATTAAACACCGGCTTCTCTGCAGAAACCGAGTCCCGGGGCTGGAATGCCAGGTTCCGAGTGGGTGCACTTCTAAGTCTCCAAACCCATCAACAGAGCAAAGCGCGCTGCTCCGAAGCCCGCCGCCAGCCCCGGGCCAGGAGAGCCTCCCGTGGGCAGAAGGCGGGTGCATTGGCCGTGGCCTGGCTGGACCGGGAGCTGTAAATTGTGTTTCTGTGCGTTCTGTGCAGGAAAGCCGTGGGCACCAGGGCAGGCTTTCCAAATGCTAATCACTGGCTAAAAAGCAAGGGGTGTGGACAGCCTGACTCCAGGTAGCAGAGGTTAACAGCAGCTAATGCATTTATTAACCCTCTCGTGCCAGCGCCTGGTGAGGTCCGCCCAGCAATTACGAGGCCCTGGAAATCCTATTAGGTGACGTGCCTGGACTTGCAGATGACTGACTGCCGGTGACAATTTTATGGAAGTGCTGGACAGGCTCACGGCATGGCTAAAGAGCAGGTCCCCTGGATTTCTAGAGAGAGTGAGAGGGGCGGGGGGAGCTTCTGGTTTGGGGTGGGTTTCTCCAGGATCTTCTTCATCTCTCCATTTTGAAGATGAGGACCTGGTGGTTCTGTGCATTGGTGGTGGAGTTTCCCCTAGCTCCGAGTCAGGCGTCTCCCCCCCACCGCCAGGTCACTGTGAATGCACTGGTAGGAAGCCCTCTTTCCTAAGAGAGTTTAAAGAATTCATTTTTCAACGGACTGGAACAATGGTTAAAAAGTGACTTGTAGAAAAATGAATCCGTTCTCCTCTTCTGCCCTGTCTCCTTTCTAAGAGATGCCATGTTTTAAAGTCACACACTGTACGGCTTCGCGTCTGGGGCGGGTGTCCTTGCACATCCCGCGCTGAGCAGGCTGTCTTGAGCGACCTTGAGCGCCCTGCCAGCACTTCCGCTGGGACACTTTTGGTTTTACCGGTTTAGAACCCGGCGATAAAAGGGGTCCTTCCAGTTTCTTGCTTACCTTATATCTTACAGGATCTAATATTTTTTTTAAAGCTTTTCTGCCCAATCTCAGTTTCCATCAATGGAAGACAACATTCAAAGTATGTGAATGACTCTTTGCAAGAGTGGAAGGTGGGGGGCGCCAGTAATTGGATGTTAGCATTTATCATACCTGACTAGCAGACAGTGATAGCTTGATGAGGCTTTAAAAAATGCTCAGGATGAAGCTTTAAAAGGTGAACTAGCAGGCTTTTGCAAGGGCCTTCTAAGCCAGGTTTTCTTAGGTGGGCTGTGGAGGCAGATTTCTGATCTCGGGGGGTCACTGGCGGGGCTCAGACTGCTCACAGGGCCGATAAGCATGCAACCAGCCTGACATGCACATGGCTAGAGTCCCAGGCTCTGCCCCTGCATCTGCAGCTCATGAGCCCTGAGGAGCCCTGGGCGTACAGCCTGTCACTTGCCTGGAGCTGGTGGCATTCTGTCTACACAGATCAGACTCACAGACCTTCCTGTGGTCCCTGCTCTCCTCAGGTCTGCACCAGACCGCTCCGTCGGAAGCTGTGTGGACATGCTATGTAAGCAGAGCACTTCAAGGCCTGGGTGCATGGGCCGCTTAGCCTCTGGAGTGCTATGTGCATCTGTGGGTTGGGAAACGGAAGAGAAGGCGGTTCTCCAGAGCAGTCGGCAAACCGAGGCTCACGGTCGGCAAACCGAGGCTCACGAGCCACATGTGGCTCTTTGGCCCCTGGAGTGTGGCTCTTCCACAAAATACAATGGCCTGGGCAAGTCTATTTTGAAGAAGTGGCGTTAGAAGAAGCTTAAGTTTAAAAAATTTGGCTCTCAAAAGAAATTTCAATCGTATTGTTGCTATTTGGCTCTGTGGACTAATGAGTTTGCCGACCACTGCCCCAGGGCATCTGGAAGGGCCTGGCTGTCCATTATTACTTTTCCTCTGCATTTCATCCACATATGCCAACCTGAACGGTCCCCAAGGTCAGAGGAGCTTGGGGCTGCTGCCTCCAGATTTAGTGCAGCCAGTGGGACTATAAGGAAACAAGGCCAGAAGGTGACCATTTCCTTTCCATAGAGGCCCACAAGATGCCCACTTGAGGGGGAGAAGGAGCCCAAGGATTTTGCAGACTTGGACGTGGTCTAAATCTGCGGTCACCAACCGGTGGTCCCTGGATCACTGGTGATCCGTGAGGTCCAAAAGGTTGGCGACCACTAGGCTAAATGCAGCTTTCCCACGTGATTGAACACTTAGCCACTCCCAGATGGAGGGCAAGAGGCTGGGAAGGTAGACCTGTGCACGTCTACCTGGTTGTATGCCTGTAGTCCTCCTGTGCACAGATGGACGCTCAGCAACTAACGAGGGCCAGAACTACCTGTGGAGTTCCATCATCCTCTTAAGAAACCCTATTAAGATGGGAGACTTCTAGTGTTGTCGGTGGAAGTATTATACAAGTACTTCCACAGGCACCTGAGGTAAGACGTATAGCTGGTAGGCATCTAGGCTGTGTAGACAATGAGGAAAACTCGGGGTGCTGTGCTAATGATGCAGACCCACGTCGGAAGGAGGCCGGCCCAGCCCTGGGGACTCAGAGGCCACTGTGGGCTGCTCAGCTATGGGCACAAGTCCAGAAACACCTTGAAGCTGTCGTGTTTTCTACTTTATTTTTTTATTTTTTTAAAAATATATTTTTATTGATTTTCCAGAGAGAGGAAGGGAGAGAGATAGAGAGCTAGAAACACTGATGAGAGAGAAACATCGACCAGCTGCCTCCTGCACACCCCCTACTGGGGATGTACATGCCCTTGACCAGAATCGAACCTGGGACCTTTCAGTCCACAGACTGACACTCTATCCACTGAGCCAAACCGGTTTCAGCTCACGTGTTCTACTGGCTGCCTTCTCTGCACATCTGAGTGAATTTCTTAGTTATGCAAAGGCCCTCAGCTCAAGTGTGTGCCTTTTGTAGATTATGGCCTGGGAAAGAAAAGACAGAAGTGATGTTTTAGGGTCATCTTGGTGTCTGGGCACAATTCCAATTTATTTCTCAAACAGAAATAAAACATGGAAGAGTGCTATACGTTTTTCTCTGCAGGTAATAATGCCATAGACCAAGATTTGCTGTTAATACAGATTAAAAGCAGGTTGTGGAATAAGGTTAAACTCCTCTTCCAGTTTCCCCTCTGATCTTCTTATATATAACATTTAGTGACCTTTGAGCAGCCTGGGGGTGCTTCCCGGTGTCTTATTCTTGATGCCTGTTTAAAGGTTTCCATTTCATATGCACAGCTGGCATATGCAAATATCAGTAAAAGATTACGATGCCTCCCAAGTAGCATTATGGCCAATAAATTACTCCTTGGGTAAAGATGCTATCATTTTAGCTCCTGTGTCTTCAGTGAGCTGCAGAGTCCTGCAGCAGGCACTGGGCTGCCAGGGCCATCCCATGGAACTGCTTGCCCAGATGCCCCTGATTCTGGTGTGATGCTGAACTAGGTCCATCCTGTTGGCACATGGGCTCTCTGACATTTGGTGCCGTTGGGGTCCTGGGGGTTTTGGGGCAGGTAAGGCATTCCAGGGTTCCCTGGGAGAAACACCGTAATGTAGGAAAAAGCACAGCTTTAAGATTTTGAGTGGTCTGTGTCCTGACTCCCAAGAAAATCGCTGGGTGACCTTAGGGAAGTCACTTAACTTCACTGCACCCTAATTGTTTACTTTTGTAAAAGGAGGAGGCTGCCACCCACTTGGCAATTTTCATTGCAGTTGTATGAGTGATGGGACCTCTCCTTTAACTCAGTTCTCAGGGGCGAGCCCAGCAGAGACTTGTTCCAGTCTTATGGAGTTAGCGAACATATAGCTTTCACAGCTCAGCTCCCTGACCACCAGGTTTTAAGAATGCTGGATCTGTGATGCCTGCACAATTCCTTGAAGAGACCTGTTTGAAAGACGCCCTGTCCTGTCCAAGCAGTGAGTGTTTCACTCACCACAGGGCAGCCCCGTGAGCCAAGGGCCTCCATCCCTGTGTTCATATCGCCATAGGCCCTGCCTGGGAAAAGAGCATATAAGTGTTGACTGGAGCAATGAATAAGCAAAAGAACAAACAAGTTTTAGGAGCGCTTATCTCTATATTACCAATACACGGGGATTTTTATTGCAACATTTGTGCTTTGAAGGTATGTCTCAGAAATTAACATTCAGAAGCATGAGTTCAAATATAAATGACTTCAAAATGTGATCGTTAGTAACCTCATCTTGTGCCTCCTCTACTAGCCCCAGGGAGCTGTTAGCTTTTGAAATAGGGCAGGTCCGAAATGGGATGTCCTGTCATATTTTGAAGACGTGGTATGGAAAAAAACGAACGTGAAGTATCTGGATCATTTTAGAATGATTATCCATGGTGATGGCAAATATTGGATTAAATAAAATGTTATTAACTTCACCTGTTATCAATGGCACTGTGCTAGACAGTTGATTAATGGATTGTAGTAATTACTCTCTCATTTTATGCAGGAGTGACTTTACATGTGTGTTTGTCTCTCCTCAGGCACAGAAGCTGAAATCCAATGTGTCGGGCAGCACACACCTCTGTCTTTCTGATGTAAGTTGTGTTTCTTTCGGGGTCTCCTTGCTGCATCTTAGAGACAGGGCCCCGGGGGCAGAGTCTGATGCGAAGGGCTCGGAGACGACAAAGTTTCCAGACCAGAAAAAAAAGGAAGGCACCCTCCATGTTCCTCTGGCCTTCGAGCAAGGTGCAGCCATTGGACAAAGTTAGAATCGAGTGAGGGACCCAGGCTCCTCACCTCAGAACTGGATCCAGTGTGGACACCATTGTCCCAAAGCCACAGGCACATGCCATCACCAGGCACAGAAAAGTGCTCTCCCTGCTTCCCGGATGTCCTCTAGCTCCTTTCATTGCCATGGCAACCCAGAGGTATCTGGGGCAGCCGCGTAACTCTCCCCAATTTACAGGTGAGGAGATGGATGACTCTGTCATGATCCTGGCTCACTCAGGGGAGATGTGACATAATGGGATTGAGCCGGTGCTGGAGTAGCGCATTCTGTGGAAGGTCAGCCATGCTGACGAGGAGGGGGCAGGTCCGGATTGACATGTGCTGTGTCATAGTTTGAAGACTTGGGATGGAAGAAAAGAATCTCAGGGACTTTATATTGATTGCATGTGGAGATGGCAGATATCGGATCAAGTCAAACACGGGAAGCATGGGTGCTGGCGTGGGCTGTCCTGCAGACCAGCAGGGAGGAGGCTCCTTCATCTACAAAATCTGGGCCAACGCAGGGCAAGGCTGCCCCTGCCTGCTCTGCTGGTCCCGATGTGACCTGGGACCCCTCTGAGCTGGTATTGACCTGGGCAAGTTTCTCAGGTGATTCTTCCTGTCCTCCTCCCATGAGGGGGAGGGTCAGCCAGCATTCCACCCCAGTCAGTGGACCCAGAAAGACAGGGTTCCATGCTGCATACTTACTAGGGGATCTGGGAAGTGGAGGGAGGATGACAATTCACATCCCACCCACCCCCAAATAGATTTTAAAATCCGTAATAGGAGCAAAGATATGAATGCTGAGCAGTTTGTCAGAAGTATCTAGTTCTCACCCAGATTCATGATGCTTCCCATACAACCACAGGCCAGTGAATTGGGAAGCCTGGGCCAGCTTCGATGAGTGACAGAAGCTAGTTAGGGGCCGGGGGTGAGAGAGAGGAAGATGTGTGGTTACATACAGGGCGATGGGATGAACCCCTGCGGCGGATGGTAATGACAGCATTCTCTCTTTCAGCGCGACTACGAGAAGGATGGCCTCGCCGGTGCCTCCAGCCACATAACCACAAAATCGATGGCTGCCCCTCGGAGCTGCAGTCTGAGCCCACGGCTGGTTCTGGTGGTAACCGCCCTGTCCACCCTCTTACCTTGGTCCTTGGCAGAAACGTTATAGCTGCGTTTCAAAAACAACATGGACCTGTAAAAAGACACACACCACGTTATCCGTTTCCTGTCCTCTTGTATATCTGAAATTCCAGTTTTAGGCGCTCCGTGGAAACATTGCTCAAGCAGTTTCATCCAACTGAAACTTTCCCCCCTTTTTTTTGTGTGTGTTTTTGTTTTTTAAGAAAGCTTCTTGTGATCCTTAGGGCTTCTGTGGGATTCCCAGTGCAGTGCCACATTCCAAACTCGGAAGGCTTAGGGGTACGTTGTATTGTAAAGGGGCGGTTTGTATTGTAAAGGGGCGGTTTGTACCTCTGGTTGTGAAGCAAACGGGGCCAAGTTTTTCATGATGATGATTTTAACCATTGAACCCTGCCCTTTTGCCCTTTGCCGGCTAGCGAAGGAGTTAGTATTGCTCCAGAATCTTCCCATTTCCTGCGGTGGCTTTGGTGTCTGATGACATCATGCGGCCTCCCAAGCTTTTTGGTCACAAATCAGAGATTCTCCTCAAGAGAATCCTTGATGGACTTTGTGCAGACTAGTTTGTCCCAATGCTCACCTTTCTATACGTCTTACCCCTTTCGGCGCTGATGTTTGTGTTCCGTAGCCAGTTCTGCTCTCTCCTGCAAACCCAAAAGCACCCATCACACCCAGAGGCGGTGCGTGGCTTCTAGTGGAAACAGAGAGTGAGGGGCGTGGGTGTGAAGCTTCCCGAGCCTGGGTCATCGACCTCCCCCTTCTGAGCCTTACCCACGCGAGAAGCCCTCCCATGAAGCGCCCAGCAGAGCTGAAGCGTCCCCCTAACCCCTTTACATGTTTGATGTTCTATGTAGACAACTATTTACTACTAAATGATTTCAACTGTTGGCTTTCTATATTTTGAGAGTAATGATCTTGTCTCCATTTTTTACTGATGGTTTAATACAGTACACGCGGAGCTTATTTCCCCGCTTAAGTAGGGTTCGCTCCGGCATTAACTCCCTGGACAGCCCTTCCAAGGCCGGTTCCGGGGGGCCTCCTGCTTCAGCAGAGGGCTCCGCGTCACGTGGCTGTGGACAAAAGGAGGAGACAGAACAGCTTCGCTTTTGTTACCATTTCTTGATGAAACGCGTGTGCACTGGTAAATGCATCCTAGGATGGGAGGAACCTGGAGGCCACTGGTAAATGCTCCGCAGTGGCTGATGGCACCCTTGCCATCACCATAATCCAGTAGCTTGGTTTTCACATTGCCTGACAAAGGCGGCTTTGACTGGGACAGGGGACGGGTCCATGCCAGGGTGCAGAGTTTTCTCTGGACTGCGATGGCTGGACCGCTGTGGAGAGCAGTTCGGTCTGAAGGTCATCAGGAACCTGCTTGCATTTGTTCTATATGCCCCAGGGCAGACGGGGACTGACTGTATGAGAAGGAAAGACTTGTGGATCAAGGTCAACTCATCTTCCATCGTCCTCTCCCTTAAGAAGACCCTAGCGTGCGCTTGGGAAGTCCGGTGGGAATGGTGCGTTTCAGAATCTACAGGGATCGGGTGCTGGTAGGCTTGTGTCTCCAGAACCAAATCGCAAAGCGATTCCGCCTTCGCAGAGTGCTGGGAACATCGCCCTTCTTATCACCTCAGTAGAGAGCTGGAGGAGGAAGCCATGGTACCCATGTCATGCTGATTCCCTCGGCCCGCCGATGCTTGCCTTGTAAGAATTGGTCACGTTACTGGGGTTGGAAAAATCTATTAACTCCGAGCTGAAGGCATAGTCTTTGAGCTCCATTGGTGTCTGAAGTGCATTTATATCCAAGTGTTAATAAATATAAATGGATAATACTAAGAACCAACTTTTTTTCACTTCCAAATGTTTTCCAGGGAAACCCACCAAACAAATTTGATTAGTAAGAAGTTTCCTAAAGACTTACTTTGAATAAACCCACTAAATGTGTCAAAATATTTGGAATCCCAGTCATCTATGACAGCCTAGCCCTTACAAGGCATATTTTTGTTTTAATTAAGATATCCCTGTGTATCTACACTGGACTAATTGCATGTGGGTCTGAGTCTGTGTGGTCTACTGTGGAAAGCTATTGATTACTTCTGCGGGAAACAGCAGCTCTAATTAGCTTCCGATGACCAAGAGGAGATGGGCGTTATCAGGGCTAACAAGGGTACCCCATGCTGAAGAATGCATGGGTGTACAACACATAAATTACATTTTGAAAAGCCTCATCTATCACCAACAAAGATCTCATTTTTCTTCCACGAAAGAAGCATATTAGAGTTACCAAATCCTCAATTTGAAAATAAATTGCTGATTAAATAGCCGAGGGGAAGGACAACATATTCGAGAGCTTATAAAATCATGCCGAGCATGTGTGTATGCCATTCGGCGTGATCTCAGTTGAACCCAGTGGCCCTCAAACCCCATTGTGTACCCTGCGACTGGAGCAGGCAAGTGGCTTCAATCCTTTCCGTGTCTGATTGTCTTTTGCAGCCCTCAAAGCAGAAATCAGTCACTACCTCTTGTCTGTCAGTCCCCGCATGTAGCGAGACACCCAATTCAAGGCCTGTCTGCTGAGGCTTGGGCCTCTGGCGGAGAGCAGCTCCTTATAGTTGACTTCGACAAAACCAAAACAGTCATTTCTGTCCAGGGAGACTCTGAATCCCAGACCAAGGCTAGCCACACCCAACTTATTTCAGAGGAAAAGGAAGGCACCTTTGCCAAACCAATTAGAAGCACATTCATTCCACTTCGTTGTTGAAGCTCTTCGGCCCGTCTTTGTTTTGTGTGTCTTGTTAATAGAGCACAGGAAGGGAGGAAGGCGTGCACAATAGAAAGAGGGAATTAATCCAGAAAGCCACCTGAATCTGTATTTTTCCATATTTGAATTTCTCGAGTCTCTAGTAGAAAACCTGTAAGTTGGTAATTACATTAGGTATTTTTTTCACCAAGTAGAGCAAACTGTATCCAAAATGCGTTAGGAGTGTGGTTTCCATTAAAATGAATTGTTAAAAAAAAAACACACGTGTTTATCCTGTAGTTAAAAATGTCTTAGAAGCCATGTGTTTGAGTTCATCAAATACAGGGCAGGACAGGGTGGCCCTTGGTTCGGGCTGTGTTAAGACTGCTCTCGTCATGTGCACGCTCTGAGGATGAGTCCTCTCCAGCTGTGTCCCACCTGCCCCTTTGTACCCGAAGCCAGGCACTCCCCACACTCCAGCTGCCGCCCTAGGGAAGTGGGGGCAGAAGCATTTCAAAGTCAGTGGCAAGTGCCTGGGGAAGGAGAGGGAAGAGCAGTGGGAGGTAAAATAATCAGCACATTCTTTTCTTAGAATCCAGTATAATGCATTTCTGCTGTTAGTATTTACCAAAGAGCGGAGCTATCTCTTCAAAAACATGTTTCCATTCATGTAGTTGGGCCATGTACTACTACTTTGAGTCTAAACTCGTGGCCAGAAAAGGCCTGCTGAAGCGAGTTCCCATTTCCTAATTCTCCTTCGCAGCTGTCCTTGATCTCCTGAATTCATATCCCTGTGATCTTGGCTGCTTCTGCTCTTTGATAAAGCAAATGAGATCATGGGAGGAGACCCATCTTTGCAAGAAGACCAAAAGCAATGGCAACAGAGTAAATTATGAAATGGCCCAGGCATGGTCCCCGCAGAAGGGCCGATCTGCACTGACCTTGAGGAGTTTGGAGAGAGGAGGCCCATCCAGGTGCAACAGGAGGACACCTGCATGAGTGACGATCACACAATCTGAGGATGTCCCTCACTGATCCGAATAGGAACCGTGTCCTAACAAAACAGCCACAGGTCCTTCAGTTAGACAGCAGTGTCTCTGGGGGAAGCAAGCCTGAACAAATACCTGGGTAACAGAGAAAATAATGTCTTTCTAGAGATTTTAAAAGAGTCAAACAGCCGGGAATTGGGTTGGACACCCTAAGAAGCTAAGGTCTTCTCTTATTCCTCAGACGGGCTTCTCACGTATAGATCGGACACGTCCTGAGTTCCACATGGCTTTTGTTCTCACGTGATCCTTTGTTTGAAGCCTGTTGTCTGGAATTCTTCCAGGGGGCGGTGCCTCCTAGACCCATTCTCACTGCCCGGGCCTTAAACCTGCGGGTTTCGCCACCGCCTCCGACCCGGGGTGTATGTAGTGGGACATTTCATTTCACAAAGATAGTGCGTTAAGGTATGGGCTGCCTCAGTTCCCTTTCATATGGATTGATGCCCCCGCCCTCTACCTTTCCCCTTGTCACGTAATACCTGAACATGTAACACGGTCCCTTCCCATCCATTCTTCCTCCCCGTCCCTCTGAGCATAGTCGGACCCAACTGCTTCTTGTTCTGGCGGAGGCCTTCACAGGTAGCCCTGGCCTTTTGAAGGTGGAGACGCCTTTCTTGGGAGCCAGGAGATCTGAAGATGGTGCTCATCCCCCGAGTAGGAATTTTATTCATTCCACATGCCCCTGAGCTCCCTCTTAGCTCAGCCTCCCCTGCTGCCTCCTCTGAGGGCATCCTTTTGTGGCCCGCTGCTCTCTGATGAGCCAGATCCCTTGCCTCCTCCAGGGCTCGGGGGGGTTGTGGGATGCTCCACCTGCACATCTGATGGCCCGGAAACCCAGCCCGGAGGAGTGGGGCCGGCCCACCGATGCCGCTTTAATCAGCTGCCCTCGGAGAGCCACGGCTCGCCCGCGCTCACCGAGGCCGTGGTCCCCGAGGTCTCCAGCTCATTTGACCATCGCAGCTGCGACTCCGCTGTGTGCTTCTGGCAGGTGCCCGCGTCCGCATCTTGTCCCCCTGCCACAGAGAGTTTATTCTCGCTCCAGGGCAGCTGCCAAGCTTGGCACTGGCCTCCGCCGAAGGTTTGCTCTCGTTGTCTTCTCTTCATCCCGGCCTGGGCTTTCTTACCAGTCCCCGGTGTTTGTTCTGTAGAAAGTGCCGAGAGACGGGCCAGAGACCATCAGCCATTCCTTTGTTTCCTCGGAGCCTCGGGGCTGGGAGCGGGGCCAGGTGGGCCCGTCCGTGAACT